AGAGGGTGTAACACCGATTTCCCCGGGGGCCGAGCGCCTGGCGTCAGCGGGGCGCGCGGTGAGCTGCCTGCTGGGTTTTCAGTCCCATTTGCTGGGTGCCCGGGAGAAAAAAAGGGGCTAGCCATAATATTTTGCAGATTGGAAGGTCTCGAAGATGTTAATGAGCTGTTAATAAGCACCGTACTAGTTTTTCCCGTGGAAGTAGGCGGGTAATAGACATTTTTTGCAGGATGAGGCTACAGCCACATCCTGGCGGGGACGAGGGACTGAATCACGTCCTGTGGCCCGGGGAGCTGGAAGTCAGGAGGTGGAAACCTGGTGAGGACCCGCGGGAGCGTCTTCCTCCAGAGCCAGCGGCAGGGTCCCCGCGGGATCCCCCGTTCCTGTGTGCTCCGTCCCCTCTCTCCACTGCTCCCCTGCCCGCGTGTGCTGGGGGGCCGGCGTCCCTCCCGCGCGCTGTGCTCGCTGTGGTTCACACCATGTGTTTGCTCAGCAGGAGCATCACTGGTCGGAGAGCCCGGGACTGACCAGGCTGCGGTTTGTTTGCAGAAAATGGCGCTTTCCAATTTGTCCAATTACTTGGATGATGTCGATAACTACAGCGACTACCCAGATTACACCTATGAGGAGACGGGCAGCGTGTGGACAGACCCGTCCCATGACCCAAAGGATGTTGCGAGGATCCTCTCCGTCGTCATCTACAGCGTGTCCTGCGTGTTGGGCATCCTGGGGAACGGCCTCGTCATCGCAATCATAACTCTGAAGATGAAGAAGTCGGTCAATGCCATCTGGTTCCTCAACCTGGCCGTCGCCGATTTCCTCTTCAACATCTTCCTGCCCATAAACATTGCTTACACGGCCATGCGGTACAACTGGATCTTTGGGACGGTCATGTGCAAGTTGAACTCCTTCCTCCTCATCCTCAACATGTACACCAGCGTCCTTCTGCTCACCACTATCAGCTTCGATCGCTACGTGTCAGTGGTTTTTCCCGTCTGGTCTCAAAACCATCGGTCAACCAACCTAGCATATTTAGTTTGCTTGATTATCTGGACCGTTGGCATCATTATGAGCTGCCCGTCTCTTGTCTTCCGAGACACAGCACAAGCCCGCAACTCTGTGATTTGTTTTAGCAACTTTTCCCTCTCCAGGAATAAGTCTTACCAAGCCCTGGCACTAATGAGGCACCGAACGGTGAACATCACCAGGTTCCTTGCCGGGTACATCCTTCCCATAACTATCATCACTTTCTGCTACGTCGCCATCGTCTTCAACTTGCGCCGAAATCGCCTCGCCAAGTCCAAAAAGCCCTTCAAGATCATCGTCACCATTATAGTCACCTTCTTCCTTTGCTGGAGTCCCTACCACCTGCGGAACCTCCTGGAAACAGAGCCCGACATGATCCCGCGCTCCGTGTTCGAGATCAGCATCCCCATAACCACGGCGCTCGCTGCCTCCAACAGTTGCATGAACCCCGTCCTCTATGTCTTCATGGGCCAGGACTTTAAGAAGTTTAAGGTGACCATCCTTTCCAGACTGGTGAATGCCCTCAGTGAGGAGACGGGCCACTCCAGCATCGTTCACAGGAGCTTCTCCAAGATGTCTTCAATGACCGAGAAGGAGACGACGGTCCTCTAAACTCAACCTGGATGCCTGCAGGAGGGCCACCGTCCTCCAGGTGTTGCCCATGCCCAGCACTGTGATGGCGGCCACCTTTGTGGTGGCCCCTGGTGTGGGGCGAGCATGGTCCAACACTGTCCTACAGCATATTCTTTGACTGGTCTTGCTGCCTGGGGGCTGGCAGGCGTTGGAGACCACCATTCTGTGCACACAGAGAAGACAAAACCGCCCTTAATCTTTCTTTGCGACTGCAAAGATGATTGCACCAAACTATTTAAGAAAACATTTTGGGGAGTTCCTATCTAATCTATGCATCGCCTGGCCTGGCAAGGGCGTTCCTGCCGTTTCTAGAGACATCGTTATGGGGAGATTGGGTGGAGGATGTGTCTGGGAAGGCACCCCTGCTGCCAGGCTCCCCAGATGGGTGGCTGGGTGGGCACCTGCCATGGATGACACCTGCTACGGCAAGACTGGTGACGCGCTTCCGATGTCCTATGTATGCATATAGCCACTCATGTTAAAGTCCTGAAGTATATTGGTACTAGCACAATATGTTTTTAGCTGTGTTGCGAGCACTTTGTGCCCAGAGAGGCCTTGGGAAGTGTCTTCATAAGAGGGGCTTGACCATCCCAATCTTGATGGACCGGGAAATCTCGCATGTCTTCTGAGTGACCCAGGCCCAGGGCCACCTGCCAGGGTGGGGGTTGGGCCCGTGCACAGGGACACCAACATGGCAAACTGGGAGAAGAAAGAGGGAAAGATTCATTTGAAGTGTCTTTCGAGCAAACCCCACTTCGATGGGCACGTTTCGCACGGTACGCGTTACAGAGCTGTTTGACGCCTGGGGCCGCGCGTCCCAGCGGCTCCTCGCAAAGTGCCCCTCCTGGACCTGGGGACTGGTTGCTCCCTGCTGCGATCCGTCGGTCCTGCGGGAAGATTTTGTCTCTTCCCGACCAGGCAGCGAGCCCATCGCCGGTGGGAGACTCGGCCAACGCACGCAAATCTCTGCGGCGGAGGATGCACCGTCTCTATCCAATTTCACGCACAGTTAATTTGGGAGATCCTTCGCCATTTGGGCTTCCTGACACCGGTGTCACGCTTATTTATGTGTTGGTTGCTCCGTGTCACCCACGGCCTCTCACTCCCAGGAGAGCGAGGAATGACCGAGTCCTCCACCTGCGCCGGGTGCCGGAGCAGACCCGACCCCTGCAGCTGGGTTCGGGCAGTCCCCCGTGGCACATTTCGGGGACATTTCGGGGGGTTCCTGGGGATCCCAGCCCGTGCGGTGCCCAGGGGAGCTTTGCGCAGGGGCCGGCACACCGGCAATTGAGAGTCTGCTCACAAGTGCCTGCGAAGGCTGAGATATTTATTGACAGCTTTTTTTAAAAAAAAACAAAAAAATGGGGAAAAAAAGTGAAGAGGTGGCTGCCAGGAAAAGGCACGGAGCTATTTGCAGGCTCCCGTCAGCAGCAGATCATGCCAGACCCAGAGAGAAACCAAATCACAAAGCCCCAGCGACTGAGCTGCAGCCCCGAGCTGCGGGAACGCCGCGGATAATAGCGGCCGCCGCGGGGGGGAGTGGATTTCGGGCAGGGTAATCCCCTCCGCGCCCGGTGCCGCCTCGCGGACCGGCCTCGATCTGCATTACCTGGTCAGCGTGGGCATGATGGGGAGCACGATGGGACGGGGATGCCGGCGGATCCGGTGCGTTTGGCTGCAGTTTTGGGGTGTGTGCTGGGGTATGGCTGTCCCCCACACCGGGGCAGGGAGGTGCCCGTCCTCGTCGGCGTTGCAGGGGATGCCGCAGATCCGGTCTGCTAAAAGTGGGGAGCAGAGGGGTGGGGGATTTATCCTGGAAATCAGGGTGTCCAGCCTGAGCCCAGAAGAGGAACGCAGCGGGGGGATGGGGGTTAGAAGGGAAATTGATGGCAGATGGGTGACTGCCACCCATTGGGTGCTGCTCTCGATAATGTGGGGTGGCTGCT